ACCCATGCACCTAACAACCCAGATAAATCTCAAAAACATCACATTGAGTGAAAAAACTCAGATACAAGAGAGTACATGTAATATGATTTCATTTATATTAAGTTCAAGAACATGTATGGGGATGTAATGTAGAATAAGGGTCACCTCTGATGGGGCATTGGGAGGGATACAGGACAATGTGATAACCGTGTTTCTTTCTGGACTGGGGTGTTGGTTATACAGATGTATGACTTTTTGAAACACACCAACTATGCTTAACATCTATGCATTTTACTGTATGTAGTTATTGCTCAATTTAAGAGTGGGAGAGAGACCTGCTCAGGCTGTTGTAGAAAAACCTGGATGTCTGGTGAAAACACTGGCTTTCTAGTAGCCCCCTGCCCTCTCTCAGCTGCTTGCTAAAAAAATCTATAGAAATGGGGAAATTAGGAATCTCCCGACACCATGCAAAATCTGACAGAAAAAATGAAATGAAGGGTCAGAGACTTGGCAACATCTTTACTTACTTTTAAAGTGCATGTTGCAGCTGCATTAAGAAAATCTGATCCAATTTTGAGCTTGTATCATACCCACTTTCATTCTATGAGCAGACTGCCTGAGAAAAGGTAGGAAGGCCCTTGGTCCCTCCCACACCATCTGCCTCTGTCACTCTGGGAACAATCAGCCCTTGGGGAACAGATCTCTCTTCTGTGGGCAGATCACCTTTTCCCAGCAGCCAAAGCCACCATCAGAAACCTCCTTTGCCAACTTGCTTGCTTTTTAAACTTCATTTGTTTCAGCGTAATACATGCAGAGTTTTAAACAACAAATCCGACTACAGAGCTCGGTGTCAAACAGTGGTCTTGTACCCTGCCTCTCCTGCTTCCCTCCCCATTCTCCAGAGACAGCAATTCCAATTCTTTCAGCTGTTGCCACTGGCATTTGCTTCCTTTTATATAAATAATGTAGGTATATTACTCTTTAATTTTAGACAGTAACTGTTACCATTAAGTGTTGACTTTCCACTACGAGAAATAGGAATTTAGCTCTCCTACACCCTCACTCCCACAGAGCTTTGATTCCCCCATCCTTTCCTTATTGGTTATTTATGTGACTGCATAATTTTCACAGATGAGTCTGATAATATACTGTATATTTCATGTATATTTTATTTTTCCTGGAGTTAGGAATTGCCTTCAATTATTTTCATTTCTCTATCAGAGCTGTAAAATCCCTGCTCAGTGTAGTTATACTCAGGAGGTAATGTTCATTTTTATTCTCCAATATCCCTCCTAGAGCCCTCTGTCTCCATGTTCGCTCAGTATTGGTTTGCTCAAGGTCTGCTTTATAGCTATCCCTATGGGAGTGTATTCCCCAATAGCTTCCTGAAAATGGGTGCATGGAGGGTTAATATTTTGAGATCTTAAAATGTCTGAAAATATTTTTTATTCTACTCTTACTATTGAATGATTGCTTGGCTACATGTGAAGTTCTAAGAGGACCCTTTTCCTCAGGTTTCCCTCAGAAGGCATCAGTTGCTCCACTTTCACTTTCCTGTATTCTATTGAGAAGTCTCATACCATTTCGATTTTTCACCCTTTCATTAAGGCCTTTTTTTTCCCCCTCTTAGGACACTCTGAGAATCTCTGGTTTTCTGATATCATCATAATATGCCTTGGTGGGTCATTTCAACCTGGAAACCTAGGGAATTGTTTTATATTATTGCTTGATAATTTCATCATTCACAGCTATAGGTACTTAAAATACTGACATTTGGGGGGCTCTCAGTCAAAATCCCAGCTTGTTTCCTAATCACCATAGGGAGTGATGCCCCCTAGTCTCTAAGACCCACCAGTGCACAAAGAGTTCCTAGTCATCTTTATAGTGCCTCTCTCGTAAATATGGATGGATATTCAAAGATGATAAGATATTCAGGAAACACAAGAACCAGTAATCTGAGTTAGTAAAAAGATACTTTGGGGAATATGGAGGCAATTCAGATATCAGAATAAGACTTTATCTCCTCAAAGCTAAAAGAGATGATATTCAGTGGAAAAAAAACAGAATGCTATGAAAAAGGAACAATTAAGAACCAAGAAATAACCCTTGGAAATTAAAAATATATCTAAAATAAGACAAATTTGGTTATCTTAAATAGTTTCTCATAAATCAGTCAGTTTCCCCAGAAAAGAATCCTTGCCTCCTGCCTTTAGAAATTAGCTATTAGCATTCTGGAACTAAGTGGGGGAGGGGGAATTGGAGGGGCACCTCACAGTTAAGGATATAGATTTCCACTTAATTCCCTCCATTTGATCTTTTCTCTCTTACTGAACTCTGATTAGTCAGATATTGGACTTCCTGGATTGATCCTTTAATTTTAATTTCCCCTTTAGTATGTTTATCTTTTTGTTCTACTTTCTGGGATATTTTCCGTTTAATCTTTAAATCCCTTTAAGAATTTGGAAGGGTGTAGAATAAGCAAATGAGTTAAATCTATCACAACTAACCAGAAATCCTATTATCACTCTACACATAGACTGATAGTACATTCTTTTGGGGGGAAGAGAGACAAGAAATGGAGAGGGAGACATACGGGGGAGAAGCATAGGACTAGTGGTGGCACGTGCATTCCGAAAGGTATATTCTCCACTTCGCATGGTTAATGTGGATGCACCTTCATCTGGGCCTGGTGTCCTGAGTTCAGACTGCTCTGAACCCATTTCTCCAGAGAGTAAACTAGTCTTCTGCCATTTATACACTGGCTTTCCATTTTCTAACGTCTCCCAGAGGGGTACTCGTAAGGACAGAGACAGAAAAATAAATTAACAGAGGAGGTCCAGAAATAGACTAAAAATATGTAAGAATTTAGTATGCCATAAAAGTCACATTTCATGTTCATTGGGGAAATATGGTTACTAAATGGTATTGGGACAACTAGCTAACCATTAAAAATAAAGAATAATTAGACTTTTACCTCAAACTATACATTAAAATATTAGTCTACACAGGTTAAACATTTCATATAAAAATGAAACCGGAAGTATCAGAGGGAAATATTAAAGAACATTAATAAAATCTGGGAGGTGGGAAAAGTCATTCTAAGCATGACATAAAGATTAGTTCTATCCTAAATAAAAATAAAAAATTTTTCTTCCTCATTCTCCCCAGTGTGTTTGAGTATCTACATCCCATAAACAAAATTTAAAAGGCAAACAGCAAATGGGGAAAAATAGTTTGAAAATGAGTATCAGACTAAGGGTTAATATTCTCAATATATACAGAGTACTTATTAATAAGTAATTTTAGAATACCAAAAGGATATGAATAGGCAACACACAAAATAAATTATAAATATCTGAAATAATACTCAGCTCCGTTAGTTATTACCCAAGTACAAATTAACATAAGAATGGGATATCACTGTCAACTGACTGAACTGATAAAAAAATTTTGGTTTTACTGAGATGTAATTCATATACACTTCTGAAGTGTACAGTTCAGTAGTTTTTAGTGTAAATTTAGAGTTGTACTACCATTACTACTCTCAAACTCCAGAGTATTTGTTACTCCAAAAGGAAACCACATACTCATTAGTGGTCACTGATTATTCTCAGTCCCTGGCAACCACTAACTTACTTTCTATCTCTATGGATTTGTCCATTTTAGACTTCTACATAAATGGAATCATACACTATATGGCCTTTTGTGTCTGGTTCCTTTCACTTAGAGCATTCTCACACCATGTTATAGTATATATTGGTACTTCATTTCTTTTTGTGGCCCAATAATGTTCCATTGTATGATGTACTTTTTTCCTATTTGCTGCTGTAACAAATCACCACAAATTCAATAGCTTAAAACAACCAAAGTTATTATCTTAGAGTTACTAGGTTAGAAATCTGCAACAGGTGTCTCTGGGCAAAAATCAGGATATTGACAAAGCTGCCTTCCTTTTTGGAGGCTCCAAGGGAGAATCCGTTTCCTTCCTTTTTCCAGTTTCCAGAAGCCATACACATTTCTTGGCTTACGGCTCCCTTTCTCCATGTTCAAAACCGTCATTGACCTCTTTTGTAGTCAAACCTCCCTCTTCCTTTCTTTTCTGCATATTCTGTCAACTTTTAAAGGCCTTTGTGATTAGTTTGGCTGTGGGTAAAATTGTAATATTTCCAGAATATCTTGCCTGGTTTTAGTACATCTGCATATCAACAGGCACTCAAGGGTGGAGGGAAGCATTTGCGTATCTTCAGGGGTGGAGAGAAGTTCATCTCAGTGGGTAATTACCTAGGCAACTGACAGTGTGTCTGAACCTGACAGTTTAAAGGGAGGGGCTTGCTTGCTTGCTTCTTCAGGAGCAGAGGAGAGAGATGGCCCTGAACTGCAGTTTGTGAGCAATAAACGGATTTTAAACTTTACATCTCCCTTCGACTGATTTTGGTTTTTAGCAGTATTTTGCCCTGGGATTTTCTCTCCCTGGATTTATGTCGGCCTACATGGATAATCCAGGATACCTCATCTGAAGATCTTTAATCACATCAGCACAGCCTGTTATGCCATATCAAGTAACATACTCTCAAATTCCAGAGATTGGGGTGTGGACATTTTTGGAGAGCCATTATTCTCCCTTCTACATAGATACACCACATTTTGTTTAAGCGTTCTTCAGTTTATGAACATTTAAGTGATTTCCAGTTTGGGGCTATCATGAGTAACGTTGCTATGAACATTCCTGTATAAATTTTTGTGTGGGTTTACATTTTCAATTCTTTTGGGAATATACCAGGAGTAGAACTGCTATGCCACATATATGGTAGCTCTATGTTTAATTTCTCTTTTAAGTATACAATTCAGTGGGCTTTAGTAGCTCTACAAAGCTGTGCAACCAAATTATCATCACTATATAATTCCAGAATACTTTCATCAACCCCAAAAAAAACCCTATACCTATTAGCAGTCACTTCTCACTCTCCCCTTCCTGCAACCTCTGGCAACCACTAATTTGCTTTATGATTCTACAGACTCACCTTTTTCTGGATGTTTCACATAAACAGAGTCATATAGTATGTGGCCTTCATGTGTCTGGCTTCTGTTATTCAGCATAACACTTTTAAAGTTCACCCATGTTGTATCATGTATTAGTACTTCATTTCTTCTTATGGCTGAAAAAAAATCCCATTGTGTGGATATATTATATTTTATTTTATCCATTCATCACTTTAGGGACACTTGGGTTGTTTCTGACTTACAGCTATTATGAATAATGCTACTATAAACTTTCATTTACAAATTTTGTATGGACATATATTTTCATTCTTTTGGGTATATACTAAGGAGTGAAATTGATGGCTCTATGTTCAACTCTTTGAGGAACTGCCAAGTTGTTTTTCAAAGCAGCTGAACCATTTTATATTCCCACCAGCATGAACAGGGTTCGATTATCCTCACCAACACTTGTTGTCCATTATTTTTACTACAGCCATCTTAGTGAGTGTGAAGTGGTATCTCCTGTGGTTTTGACTTGCATTTCTCTAATGCCTAATGATGTTGAGCTTCTTCTCATGTGTTTACTGATCACCTGTATATCTTTTCTGGAGAAATGTCTATTTACATTCTTTGCTTAATTGGGTTGTCTTTCTGTTGTTGAGTTCTAATAGCTCCTTAAATATTCTGGGTACAAGTATTTAATATCTTTTATTAGATATATGATTTGCAAATATTTTCTCCCATTCCATGCATTGTCACTTCACTTTCTTGATGGTATCATTTGAAGCAAAAAGGTTATAATTTTTATTCCAATTTATCTCTTTTTTCTTCTGTTTGTTGTGCTGTGTCTTATCTAAGAAAGCTTTACTTAATCCAAGGTCATGTAGATTTAGCCTTATGTTCTCTTCTGAGTCTTACAGTTTTAGCTCTTATATTTAGGTCTATGGTTCCTTTTGAGTTAGTTTTTGTATATTGTGTGAGGTAGAGGTTCAACTTCATTCTTGTGCATGTGGAATATATATAGTCCCAGCACCATTTGTTTAAAAGACTACTATTTTGACATTGAATTGTCTTGTCAATCTTAGGTTTTCAACCTTCTCATTCATTAAAAACTGACTGACAAAGATTTTTAAAAGATAATGCCTAGTTTAGGCAAGGGAGAGGAAAAGTCTTATACACTGCTAATGGGTATAAAAGAAGCATAGCCTCTCAAGGCAATTTGATATGCATATCCAAATTTGAAACATATATACTCTGATTCAAGAATTGTACTTCCAGGTACTTATTTCAAGTACCTAATTGTACGAATATGTTATGTACAATGGTGAACAACTGGAAGTAACCTAAATATCAGTAGGAGACCAGATGAATAAATTACACTAGATCCATACAATGAGATATGATGCAAATGTTAAAAACGATGAAGTAGAGTTGTATTTATTGACTTGGAGCAAGCCCTGTGACATACTGCTAATTGAAAAATAAAAGCATGTTACAAAGCACCATTTATAGTAAGATTCCATTTATATATTACATATTTTATACATTCACATTTATAGAGATAGCCCAGAAAATACTCACAGAAATGTTAACAGTGGTTGCCGCTAGGTAATGGGGTTTCGTTGGCTTTTATTTTCCTCTTTGTTCTTTTTGCATTGCATGAATTTGCTAAATGCATATGTATTATCTTTATATTCAGGAAAAGAAAAGCTATTTTCATTTTGTGTAAGAATGTCCTTAAGGAATATATATTCAATGGTGTGGAAATATGTTCATAATATATTTGTTAACTGAAAAAAAGCAGGTAACAGTCTCATCACACTTGAAAAAAAATGAAAAAATATATACAGCAGTTCCTAGGTACTTGAATGTTTTTTCACTACTTACTATTTCTGAAATAAGGATGTCTCTATAATCAATATGAATATTTAGTAAGTGGGTTTCCCCTCCCTAACTCTTTGAGAAGCTATTATTAATGAGATAATGCTTCTGGCAATCTGAGACTTAAGGAAGTGTCATATGTGTGTAGAGAAAAGACTGGAGGAATAGACTCCATAATGTGAGCAGTGCTTAGCCCTGAATTGGGATTTTTATTTTCTTGTTAAGTATAGTTTCCAAATTTTTTGGTACGTGCATAGATAAACATAAAAAGAAACCAGGGACCTGGCTACCCTGCTTCTCAGGGAAGAAGCAGAGGTGAGGGTATCTGGGACTTTGGGCCTTTACCAAAATAAGAGACTAGCATATTAGGGAGCACATGAACAACCTCAGTAGTGTCAGAGTCTAGAATAAGTGAGGTCTACCTTTCATGCCCACTGAGGGGCCCCTGGCAGGCAGGAGCTGGCAAAGTAAGCTTGAGAACATATGGGAGAATTCAGTCAATAGAAGCAGGACTCTTGGATCAGTTTTAGTTCTGTGTGGACAAGGAAATCCCTGTGAGGCAGGAGAGTGTCCAGTTGGTGGGCACATTGTCTGATTATGAAGAGAGATGCCTAACACTGTGGGCCACTAAGATATTTTCCAGACTAGACCAGAAGCACATTCCCAGTTCCCATGAGACCAAAGACTGTGAAACAGAAAATGAGTCCACCCCGTTTAAAAGTCAACCAAGTCTGGGCAGAGGAGCTGAACAGACACTTCTCCAAAGAAGAAATTCAGATGGCCAACAGGCACATGAAAAGATGCTCCACATTGCTAATCATCAGAGAAATGCAAATTAAAACCACAATGAGATATCATCTCACACCAGTTAGGATAGCCAACATCCAAAAGACAGACAACAACAAATGTTGGCGAGGATGTGGAGAAAGGAGAACCCTCCTACACTGCTGGTGGGAATGTAAACTAGTTCAACCATTGTGGAAAGCAGTATGGAGGTTCCTCAAAAAACTCAAAATAGAAGTACCATTTGACCCAGAAATTCCACTCCTAGGAATTTACCCTAAGAATGCAGCAGCCCAGTTTGAAAAAGACAGATGCACCCCTATGTTTATCGCAGCATTATTTACAATAGCCAAGAAATGGAAGCAACCTAAGTGTCCATCAGGAGATGAATGGATAAAGATGATGTGGTACATATACACAATGAAATATTATTCAGCCATAAGAAAACAAATCCTACCATTTGCAACAACATGGATGGAGCTAGAGGGTATTATGCTCAGTGAAATAAGCCAGATGGAGAAAGACAAGTATCAAATGATTT